TCGATTGGTCAAGTAATTCAAAATAGTTTTTGAGGAGCTTTTAGGATTTTTCTTTTTTACTTCCAGCTGTGCCATTTTTCTGGGGCAAATTTTCCATTTTACTGATAATGACTTATCGGTGAAATTAGTGATGGTTTTACAAAAAATATTTTGTTGAACAAAAAAAAATTAGAATAAGACTGGATAGCACGATCAGTGCCACGTGATTTGATTTTGCCTTGCAGATGCTCATGCTGGATCGCTTGGAGAAGATTTGACAGAATTAATATGCTGGAATTTGTCGCCAAATCTTCGACATGACAATTTGAATGAGCTTTTAGAGCATTACCGCTACCATTTCTTGAAGTACTGCCCAGGTACCAGTCAACTGTTTTTTTTCCAGCTTGTCGCATAACTAGGACATCACTGAAGTTCATACTGACATGACTACAATCGTTTCCTCTAAAAAACAGTGAAGACAAACCTGTTGTTGCAACAAACGACGAATACCCAGAACTTGTTTAATCTGGGAAATTTCTTGCATTTCCTTGAAGAAGTGGCAGCTGCGAGTAACTTGGGTTTGGAGTATAAGCTTCTTTTACAAGGGGCTTAGGAAAAAATGACAGAACATTATGGTAGTAGCTAAAAGGGAATTTGAAGAAAGCGGTAGAATGGAAAATTAGAATTAGGTGTATCTAGGAGGAGCAGAAGTTGCATCAGGACTTAACTGTTACGTTTGTAGAGAACGAAGGCCTCAGGATAAGAAATTGAAGACTTATGAAAAATATCTCTAAGGACCTCTGTGGAAAACTTGTTTTCATCCGCCGCCGCGATGCGCTTACCTCATTTCTTTTGTGCCAGCTGTAACTCCCAATGAACTGGAAAATGCAACGCATGCAGTGAATATCAGAAAGTTGCATAGGACCAGACCGCGCAAAATTTACGCAAAAGAAATTCAAGCAGAAAGTGAAAAGATCATTAAAACCGCGTAACGGACGACCCAGTCAATTCCTCAAATCGGGGAGGATTTCGACAGAATAGAAAAAAATCCTGAACGGTGCTGATGCGGAAAAAAGAAGATCGCCCAAACATCCGCAACTGCCACATAATATTCTTGCGGACACAGTTACACAAAAATCTTAGTGTTGGTACCGGAGAAAAGTGATTTTTGATGGAAAGTCAAGACGAAAACAAGAATACTTCAAAAGCGTCATTTGCTCCAGAACACATTTTCAACGCAATCAGCATAAAGGGAAAGGAATTCTTTTATGTTTGTTTTTCGTTGATTTTACGAAAACTTCCGGTTTAGAGGAACTTAACTCCGTACAACAAGTTCTCTCAGACCGAGAAATTGGTTAGGACGCGTCAAGCATCAAAAGTTCTTCCTTTGGGTCATATATTATTTTTAGCTTGGTCACAATAATAGGAATTGGGAAAGACATTCTTCCAATAAAAAAAACCCTCGATCCTTCTTAGAAAATTTCCGGATGTTCACTTTTCGTTGGAATATTGAATCAGTCATTCAAGTTAGAATGAATGTGTGTAT